CCGGCTGTTTTGTGCAGCCAGCCTCACTTGTTCACTTCTTCAACCATTCTTCGGTTATATGATCCCATTTCTGTGTGCTCGACGAACAAATCAACGCCACTATGAGCATGAAATATGTATTGAACTTACTTCCATTTTGTGTGAAAGTGTTGCGTTGAGGAGATTCGAAGGTCGGTTCCACCAGAAGACGACGGCGGATTCCTCTTGACCAGCTGTCGATTGGTTTTACTGGAAGATTCATGCTGACGCGAGGATTCGAAGGTCGGTTCCACCAGAAGACGACGGCGAATTCCTCTTGACCAGCTGTCGATTGGCTTTACTGGCCGAAGGAAGACGACGGCCGATTCCTCTTGACCAGCTGTCGATTGGCTTTACTGGAACATTCATGCTGACGCTGTTGCCGAGGCAACCTCCTTCGATTCCATTGAAAAGGTCCGTCATGTGATCAACATCATCAGAGCAAGCTATCATCCTCACAACCAAATTGAAGCTAACGAGTCAAGAAAACGCAACACTTTCACTCGAAATGGAAGTAAGCTCAACAATTATGAAACAATAGATTCCTCGAAACCCAACTTTTCTTGGAATTACTTATGCTTGATTGATAGATTGAAGGGGAGAGAGAGTTTGCAAGTGAGCTTTCTTGACTCCTTAGCTTGAATTTTGTTGTGACGATGATACCCTCCCTGCTCTGATGATGTTCGTCACATAACGGACGAGAGCTTAGCACCTTTTCAGCGGAATAGAAGAAGATTTCTTCGTAAACAGCGTAAACAGTAAAGCCAATCGACAGCTGGTCAAAAGGAATCCGCCGTCGTCTTCTGGCGGAACCGACCTTCGAATCTCTTCACCCAACACTTTATCTTTCCTCTTCTAACGACTCAACATAGAAGGGAATTAGCCGAATCCTCCCATGTCCAGTTATGTCTATACATTTTCCTTTTTTAGTCATGAGTATGTATGAGATGTATGATAGAGCCGGACAGTCTCCTCAATCCGGTGCAAACTGGAGACTTTCACGAGAATGTCTTCCAGTTCTGGTAATGTCAATTATCAGTCCGTTTTCACACAAGACGAGGGAGGATATCTCATGAACTGCGCCAACCTAAACGTCGTAGAATGCAAATCGGCCGTCGCCTTCTGGTGAGATGGACCTTCGAATCTGTCCCTCATGCACTTTCATACG